CTGTGCAGGAGTTTGCTGTGTGCAGTACATTCCTGCGGGTTTTTGACTGAGAGTAAGTGGGTGACCCTGATCATGTGCATTATCTGCATGCTGATCCACATCAGTCCGCCATCAGCAGGAGGACATTGTCGAAGCCACTCATCTGCAAACTGCAGGCTGGTAGTCACATGGTGTTGATGAGCGCTAGCTGGCCTTGCTGGGCTGCAAGTGTGTGCGTGCTTTTTGTAAAGTGTTCACCCTTTTCTCCTGATGCTGGTTTAGTGATGTATTTGTGAATGTGCACTTAATCGGATTGTCTGAAGAAAAATGTAAATAGTGTTTTAGTTAAATATGTTGTGTGCATACTTTCTGTTTGTACGTTTGAATTACACAGGGCTAACTGATGACTGTGTTTTCAGGGAGCATCTACTCCAGTCCAGGCTTGTACAGTAAGACTATGACTCCCACCTATGACTCCAGGGACGGCAGCCCGCTGTCGCCCACATCCGCCTGGTTCGGGGACAGCCCCTTGTCCGAGGGCAATCCCGGCATCCTTGCTGTCAGCCAGCCAATCTCCTCACCAGACATCCTCGTCAAACTCTACAAGCCCCAGTCCCTTCTGGACAAAGCCAAAATAAACCAAGGGTGAGATGGTCTTTACGTTGTGGTTCAGTGGTTTGGCTACACTACATGCAATTTGAAACACTGTGGTAGATTGTAGTATATTTAAGTTGTGCAAGTGATCAAAACTTTTGCAAGAGGCTGCATTGATGCCAGAGAGAGATTGCTGTGAAAAACATACTCTAACTAGCCATAATCCCTGTCTGTACAGGTGGTTGGACTCATCCAGGTCTCTAATGGAGCAGGATGTAAAGGAGAACGAGGTGCTGCTGCTGAGGTTTAAATACCACAGTTTCTTTGACCTGAACCCCAAGGTACATAGCACGGGCAAAGCAGAACAACAACATTACTGTTTAGTCAGTTGGGACATTTGTTGAGACCAAGTTGTACTAGATGGCTCTGTCATCCTATTTGAAGCCAAATATCAGAGTTTTGTAATAGTGTTCTTTGCAAAGTGCACTGTCTTAGCACAGCCAGAATAGACACTGAAAAAGGCAGATTAGTTTGGATGATATGGGTTAAATATTGTAGTATTTTCTGATATTTTGTGGTGAGTTTTAGCCCGTGTAGTTTTCATTTCTGGTGGTCTGTACGAGATCAAATCTAGAACATTTGAAATTCAACTTGGTGTATATTTTAGTGCCGATGGGGTATCATTAGCAACATACAACCTTAACTTAGGCTTCACTAGATCTAGTCCTGTGTGCGCATCACACCTGTGAGAGAACTTTAGTATATTCACAGTTTGTTTGTACGTATCTGTAGTATGATGCCATCAGAGTGAACCAGCTCTATGAACAGGCCAAGTGGGCCATTCTGCTGGAGGAAATTGAGTGCACGGAGGAGGAAATGATGATGTTTGCTGCCCTGCAGGTAAGAAGATGGTTTGTGTGTGTGTTGTGCGTGCCTAATCTAAAATTTCTTGTTGCATTGTTTTGTCAGCATCTGAAATCTGAAATTATGGAGTGCTTTTTTTCACTGAATAAAGGGTGTTCTTAATCAGAAGCTAATGAACTGGGCTTTCAGTTGCAAGCTGAGCCATATGGCTGCCGGTTCTGCTGCGGCATGTGTCATAAAACTTGGCTGATGTACACTGTTGCAGAATGATATAATAGGGGCATTAGCACACATAATCCCACAGGGGCTTCTTCAGTGTCAGTCAGTTCACATTATTTCTAAAGCATAGTTCACAGAAAAATTACATCATTAGACTGCTTGAAAAAAGTCCTGTATGAATAATTAATTACAATCAAATTTAATTAATTGCATTAATGAAATTTTGATTGGCTGCTTGTACAGAGCTGGGCCAGGCTGGACTTTAAAGACACTGGCATGGGATGTGCAAGTTTCTCTTTTGAGACAAACTAAGGAAGATATGCAAACATCTTAATAACCAGATGTAACATTCAAGCACTAAGAATCAATTTACATAAATGGCAAGACTGCATTTTAAGAGGAACAGTGGGAGTGATATACAGATGTGAGCACCTTTTTGCCCCTCCTGAGGTTGCCCCCCCCCACTGTAGGGTGGGAGTGGAGTCCCTACTATTTCTGACCCTCATAAACTGTGGGTGCCAAGACCTGAGGACGCCACCCTGTCCTCAGCCTCAGGGTAATTATAGAGCATCATGGGCCACAGTGCTTCAGCCCAGACCACCCACCCCAGAAAGACACCGTCTCCCAGACCTGCTCACATACCTGTAAAAGGTCTGGTACACTCTGAGGTCTTAGGTGTGTTTCATCAGGCCAGTTATAATTGCACATGACTGGCTTCCTATTACTCTTCCTGTGAGAGGTGCTTATTTGAGTTTGGTGTTTAGACTGGTGAATAGTCTGTCACTACCTGTTTGTTAGCAGTTTGGTGCACGTAGCTGCTACTGTGTTACAGCTGGGTAGCATGAGCTCAGGCGTTTTGGCTTAGGTTTCACTGGCAAGAGTGGATACACAGGGTCTAAATAAAGAGCAGTGACTACCCCTTTCCAGTATGTTGCTGGCTTGTGTTATTATGCTCTCACCTGGAAGTCACACTTTGGCAAAACATAGAAATGATGTAACTTGGACTCAAGAACAGTAGTTGACCTCCCAGTCCAAGCTCCTCAGAGGAAACACTTGGGCTTATGCTTCATACCTCAGCAGATTAAAAAAAAAAATGCACTGACACACACTCAGAATACACAGATGCACAAACAGGAAACAAGCCCAGTGTAGCAAGTTTTCACAGACTGTCAGTGGAAGAGGTAGAAGAACAGAGTGTCATGGAGAGCTCTGCATTCTGTAACTTTAGCTGGCTAAAGCCTCACATATCTCTCTGACTCTGTCTCTGTCTCTGTATCTCTATCTCAACAGCTGTTCACTCATACTATATTGGTGGGCGGCTGGTGATGGGTTGACATTATAAATGCCATTTGTCAACAAGTTGTATTTAGCATCTGTGACTTGCACCAAGAGGGAAACAATGACAGGTTTTCAGTTAAATACCCATCTTTATGAATTTCTGTTTCCATTGGTAGATTGCACGTTCTCTTACCATGCTTGCAGTAAAAACACCTTTATAGGCTGTTTAAGTTCAAAGATGTGCTGGAAACACATTGTCCACACTGTACAACCAATTTCATCCTTTCTTAATTGTGGCGAGGTCTGGAATATGTCCAAAGTGATAACAGTCACATGTCCCCTATATTTCATGTAGCTGTGGTTTATCATTCAAAGTGCTGTAATATTTTATGGTCTTGTGATAAGGATATAAACATCTGGAAATATGGAATTTCAATAGAAAATGTTCAGAAACCTTAGTTTGTCACTGAAATTGAAGTGCTTAATTATTATTAAGAAATAACCCTAACTGGGGCTGTCTCTCTCTCTCTTTTCCTCAGTACCACATCAACAAGCTGTCAATCATGTCTTCAGACAACCACATGAATAACAGTGAGAAGGAGGTGGATGAGGTGGATGCAGCCCTGTCGGACCTGGAGATTACTTTGGAGGGAGGAAAGACAACCAGAACACTGGTATGACAACACTGCCACATCATCACATTCATTGAAGGAACTATTGTCTGGTTTTAGATTATATCTACATGGCGTGTCCAAGTTTATTTTTTATTTTTTTTTACCCAAGCTCATTATGTGAATTTGTTTTCCCACTTGTTGAGGCTTGGCGATGATTTTGGCCCTTTGTTTCTCGATTGTTTTCTGATGGTCTACTTTCATCAGCTGTAATAAACAAGAGCAGAACCTTACATAGACAGTGCACACTAACACAGGGGGGGGAAATCACAATAAGTGCAAAGTCTGACAGTTATTTAAAAGGACCTATGGTGTGAGATATTTGGCCCTTAAACAACCCCCACAAAGGCACCACTTCATACATTTGCTTTGAAAGTATATGTCGCTATTGTTACAGCAGCCTTGCCTTGAAAGGTTAAGTTTATACAGCTTATCAGAGGAAACTGAGCTTTCAGATATTACATAGCAAGTGTTGTCTTTAGTATACTTTACTGAGTAATGACATTGAAAATGTACACAGAGGTCGCTGGTTTGGGTACAATATGTTTAACTATGTTCTTAATCTTTTATATCGAAAGCTTCTGGGTTGACACTAACAATGCATTTTTCCTTCCTCCCAGGGTGACATCACATCTATTCCTGAGCTCGCTGACTATGTCAAAGTCTTTAAGTAAGTCCACATCAACTACTACCTGATCCAACAAGACCACATGCACTTTCACTTTTATCAACAACACTTAATTGTCTATGAGTTTGTGCAGAATTTGTATTTGTCAAAAAATGACCTAGGGAATAACATTTTAAAGCTAAACAAAAAGAACTGTTGCCTGTTTTGCATCAGTGTAATAGGTTGTTTGTCAAAGGACATTTGTAGACCCAGCATATTTTTAAACCATATTTATTTTAGGCTTGGGAGGGGGTATGATGTCAAGAGGCATTTTGTCTTCAACAGTTTCCCATTAATGTTCATGACCACTACTGGCTCCTTTCCTGTTCACCTCTCTGACTTTGCACTTGTGAAGCTCTCATTGTTTTTCCTCCTCACTCTCCTTTGTACTTGGTTTTGACCTTCCCTTCCTATTGAATCACTAATAAAGAAAAAGAAGTTTCCATCTGAAACATGATTTGTCTTATTCTGTCTGTTATAATTTTCTAGACCCAAGAAACTGACGCTGAAGGGCTATAAGCAGTACTGGTGCACATTCAAGGATATCACAATTTCCTGTTACAAGAGTAAAGAGGAGGCACATGGGACACCTGCTCACCAAATGAATCTTAGAGGTGCAAACACAAATTAAAAAAAAAAAGTCATTTAATGGGCATGCAAGAATGCAGTGCTTGGTTATCTTTGGTGGGGTGTCTAAAGAATGTGTGTGACCTTGGACCTCTTCTTCCTTTCTGCACTGTGGCTTCACATGTGTAGGTTGTGAGGTTACTCCAGATGTCAACATCTCGGGCCAGAAATTCAACATCAAGCTGCTAATCCCTGTGGCTGACGGCATGAATGAGATATGGCTTCGATGTGACACGGTAAGCCTGCAGTTATTGAAGCATTTTCTACCATGCCTTGTGCTTCGAAAGATTTTTATTTATCCATGGTTGACTTTTTTCCTCCAGGAGAAACAGTATGCCCACTGGATGGCTGCATGTCGCTTGGCCTCCAAAGGGAAGACCATGGCTGACAGCTCCTACAACTTGGAGGTTCAGAACATTCTCTCCTTTCTCAAGATGCAGCACATGAACCCCGACCCTCAGTTCATTGAACCGATCACCACCGATGTCAACCCAGAATGCCTCGTGTCCCCACGCTATCTGAAGAAGTACAAGAACAAGCAGGTAGGTCATGCAAAGCTGTAAACACACAACGTCTGATTGCATTGTAAGGTTGAGTTATGGCAGTGTGAAGGGTAAAGTGTGTAGTTAGAAACAGAATGAAGAAGGTAGCTGTCTGGGCTAATATGTATTTTGTGAGAGGTTGTTTATTTGTTTGAGCTGGTTGTGGAGTGAGATGGAGCAGCAGCTGATGCTTCCCAGATGGGTGCCTCCTGGCTTCAGGTTTGTCTCGGGTTGGAATGTAGCCTCCCTACACTCCCAGTTCTTTACTTTTCCTGCTCCTCTTTTAGTTCCTTCTCCCCACCCCCCTCTGTCCATGGGGAAACCAGGACAGCAGACCGCCCAAACCACTCAACAGTAGAGGTGCTCATGTGAGACTGTAATAGATACTTTACCTCAGCTCTCAGTCTTTGTGCTTGTGTGATTTGTGTAGACAAAAGGGCTGGAAGAGTGGAGAGTTATTCATTCTACAGTCACAAGAAAAACTAATTACACTGTTTGCAGTTTCCTGGTTTTCTGTATAAATTGGTCATGAAATGTTATCTGGTCTTTACCAAAGTCACAAATATCAACAAACACAATATTTCTAAGTTGATAAAACACGAACAGTAGATTTCTGATATCACTAAACATCAGCTAGCATCCGGTGTCAGCAAGCCTGGAGTCCAATCAATGAAACAAGAATGGAGGTGTGGTTTAGAAGTACCTTGACTTATAAAAACATTAAGCAGCATCAGCTGATGTGGACCAAAGACCACCTTGACACTCCACAACACTACTGGGAAAGTGTCCTGTGGACAGTTGAAGTGAAGGTAGAATTGTTTGGGAAGAACACACAGCACTATGTATGATGTAAAAAGAGAACCGCGAACCAACAGGAAAACATCATCCCAACAGTGAGTTACGGTGGAGGGAGCATCGTGATTTGAGGCTGCTTTGCTGTTTCTGGATCTGGACCACTTGCCATTGTGGAGTGAAAAATGAATTCCCAAGTTTATGAATGAATCCTACAGGATAATGTCAGGGTGGCTGTCCACAAGCTGAAGCTCAGAACAAGATGGGTCATGCAGCAGAACAATGACCCTAAACATCTGAGTAACTCTACTACAGAATGGCTTCGGAGACATGGAATCCGCCTTTTGGAGTTGCCCAGTCAGAGCCCAGACCTCGAGAGCTGTTCACATCTGGATCTGGACCACTTGCCATTGTGGAGTGAAAAATGAATTCCCAAGTTTATGAATGAATCCTACAGGATAATGTCAGGGTGGCTGTCCACAAGCTGAAGCTCAGAACAAGATGGGTCATGCAGCAGAACAATGACCCTAAACATCTGAGTAAATCTACTACAGAATGGCTTCGGAGACATGGAATCCGCCTTTTGGAGTTGCCCAGTCAGAGCCCAGACCTCGAGAGCTGTTCACATCAGACGCCCTAAGAATATGGCTGAGCTGAAGCAGTTGTGTGAGGAAGAATGGTCCAGAATTCCTCCTGAACATTGTGCAGGTCTAATCCACAGCTGCCGGATGCGCTTGCTTTAGGTTATTTCTACCAAAGGCGGTTCAACCAATTATTAAAACACTGCATTACTTTTCCCACCATCGCTTTGTATGTTTAATGGCTGTGTTAAATAAATACATGAAAGATCATGACTGCTTGTGTTATATCATCTTAGAAATATTGTTTGTTGATATTTGTGACTGTGGTAAAGATAAAGTCATATTTCATGACCAATTTAGGCAGAAAACCAGGAAATTGCAAACGGTTCCATTACTTTTTCTTGCGACTGAAGGTGAGAAATCTGAATTTGTTTGCGATTGGTCACAACTGAGTGGCAACAAAAATCTTACCCGGCTGTAGCATTCAAGCACTAAAATTTATTTAACTTTCTGATTTGCATGTGTACATTGGAGCAGCTGAGTACATGACCACCATGGCATGTGTTAGTGGATAGGTGAGGGAGGGAGCTGAGGGTTCCCTCCCTGTAGTCTACTCACTCAGTCTGGTTTTCATTTAGTTGTACTTTCATTTAGTTGTAATTTTGCTTATGGGGGTTGGAGGGACGTGGGTACAGTAAATGATGACTCAGAAAAGGTCTGGCCCATGCCCTGACATGCAGTTTAATGAATGTCTAGAAAGAGAGGAACGGTTTTAGAATGGATGTTAAACTTTTAAGAAGGGATTCACCACAAAGAGCCAGAAGGATGTTTTTATGTTCAGTAGTTAAAGCTGAATGATGCATTACTGGAGCAGAAATTGATATGAACCGTATTATAAGACATTGAATGGCTATGATACAGCAGCTAATGGGGATTAAGCAAGCAAACTCTTATTCTTGACCTGTTCATATGATGCTGTCAGATTAATCTTTGGGTGTGTCTGTTAAGATATCTGATTCAGCAACTGTAGTTCTACACACATCCCTGTTAAGTGTTTGAATCACCTGGATTTACAGAGGTACCATGTAAAGTTTTGGTTCTTTTTTGTCTCTGATAGTCTCATTTCCTCCTCTTGGACTAGTCAGGAAAACCGGGAAAATGATATTAGGGTCATAAACATGAAAATAATTCACCATCTCTAATAGAAACTAAAATCATGAATGTGTTCACAAAGCCAGGTCACATACAGCACCTTCCTCATTACTCAGCCAGCTAGATTTTGGTCCCCACATGCTATGCTGAAGCTCCTTAACAGATTGTCCACTAAAAGAGTGACTGTGCTGGACACTATTTTAGGATTTCTTCAGTTTAATTAAGGCAAAACAGTTATTTTGTAGCATTCAATAACTACAACTCCCATGAGCCATATGGGTGTAATTAAAAGTTAATGGGAGCTGTAGTTATAAAGAAAATAATGGCTGACAGTGAGTACACTGCTCGAATGTCACAGGCCACTGTCCACCGACCCATTTTAATTTATAATATAGACAGAAAACTCCAGTATCAAGTTTCATTTACTTCATTTACTACTCGAGCTTGATGGGGCGTTTGTCTGGCCCAGCTCCAGTTTCACTCTCAAACCCAGTGTGATAGCCGTCGTCCCCAGGCACAGCTTGAAAGAGCATACTGTATATAGAGGATGTATATGTACCCATGCACTCGTGTACTCGTGTAGTGGGTGAGGGACATCAGGAAGTGAACCGTGCCTGGGAATGCTCTGCAGGAAAACTGTCTGTCGGTCAGCTGCAGCCCCTCCCCATCTCTCTTAAACTGGACTTCCTGTTGTAAGTTTTGTCCTAGGGGACTTCCACGCAGTAGCGGATACACATCCACAGAAATTTTTAGATTACACAGAATAGTGTGGTCTCGGGTCAAATTTATACATTCATGTAAACAAAAACAAAGAAAAGTAGAGTAATAAACTCCCGGAACTTGGAGACATGGCACTTCTACATTTTGTTGCTTCCAAAGTGTGCTGCTTGGTACATATCACCATCTTGTGGATGGAAGTGTAATTACAGGAAAGCAGCGTGATTGCTATAATGGCCCGCTGTGAAAAGCTGAAGAGAATAAACCTGAAATGTGCAGTCCTAGTGCACACTTCCTTCATGTGTGCAATCCTCCCTCTTTTTTCTTACAAATTATACACTGTGCTTCTGTGTCCTCCGTCTTGTGGCCAGTCAATGCATGACCCTCAGGCTGCAAGCCCTCCTCTTCCAACTTTATTACAATTATGGCCTCCTGCTTGTTGTTTTGTCTCTTTCTTCCCTCAGCATTGATCATACTTGCTTTTTTTCTTTATCCAATCTTTTTTCTCTCCTCGTATGAATCTCCTTCATTCCTCTGTGTCCTCCTCACCTCCCCTCTTCAGCCAGGCTATATCAGGGACTTGGTAAGTTCAGTTGTGTGTCCACTGGGTGCCTTTAACCCTTAGATTTGTGCATGATTGTGTCAACTCTAAACACTTTGTGCCTGCGTTGCCTCACCTAACCAGAAGAAGCTGTACAAGATATTCATTATAGTGGCTGATAGTCACAGTAGAATAGCTAGCGTCCCTCTTGTTAGTGTCTGTTTGATGCTTGTCACTAGCTCTATCATGTATTCAGGGGTGATACATAATTCTGTTAATAAGATTGCGAGTATCTGTATTGCATTTGTAATTTTGTCATTACTGCAGTGATAGTATAAAATATATTCAGTAAAATGAGCAGACTGTACAGCTGCACATTTTAGCCCACTTAACACCATTTCCATATACTTAACATCACTGCTGACCCCTTATCAAAGCAAACCATAGTTTGTTAGTTTTTTAGGTTGATGATCATTACTATATTTTTACCATTTATACACATACTGATTTCAATTCATATCTGTACAGTATGAAAATCAGAGACTAGAAACTCACAGAAGGTAAGTGGATCCATCACAGAGAAGCCAGTATATATTTTTTAAGTTACTTTACTGTAATGCAGTTAAACCGGGACAAGTGAAGCTTTCACCTTTCACCTTTCCAATATAATAGCTCGTATGAATGTAATGCTAATTGTTAGCTGACTGCAACATGTGGGAGGTTCGAAAAATGTACTTTCCAAGTCTCTGTTAGCTGATTTTCATTCTGCAGTTGTATGAACTGAAAGCAGTTATGGCTTAGAAGGAAGGAAACATGCAAGCCGTGTAAAGTGATCAGCAGAAAGCGTTCAGACAGATATGGCAGAATCCTCACCTGAGATGGTGTGGTCAGACCGGTCGTCTCTGTTACACTGATTTTCCAGTTGAATCATTTTAAGGGACTATAGGGAAATGCACACTCACACGGTCTATAAGCTTCCTTTGGCTTATTATTAACCTTAGTCTGGCTCCTCAGGGGGCTCAGGTTTATATTTGTTAGTGTACTGTCTAGCTTTGTGAAGTAGATCTTGACTGTGACAGCTTTCTGGTAATTAGCCGACTGTGTGTGTGTGTGTGTGTGTGTGTGTGTGTGTGTGTGTACATGGCTTGTCAGCCACAGCTTGTTCATGCATTGGGTGTTTGTGGATCTGGGTGCAGTGGGTGGTTTACGTCTGGTGCTGGGATACATTTGATTACTGTGGAGAGTGTGCTAATGTTTGTGGTGAGTCAAGTAGCAGGAGCTTACTGACATGATTGTGTTTGTCAGATTTCAGCACGGATCCTTGAGGCCCACCAAAATGTGGCCCAGATGAGTCTCATTGAGGCCAAGATGCGCTTCATTCAAGCATGGCAGTCCCTGCCTGAGTTTGGAATCACTCATTTCCTTGCCAGGTGAGCTCAGTAAATGTATTATTTCATCACTCCTGCTGACACCAACTCATTCTGTCAATTAATCTGCACTCTCAGTTCACAGTGAATTATCCTCTTCTTCTCTGTAGGTTCCAGGGTGGAAAGCGGGAGGAACTGATTGGCATCACTTACAACCGTTTGATCCGGATGGATGCTAGCACTGGAGATGCTATCAAGACCTGGCGTTTCAGCAACATGAAACAATGGAATGTCAACTGGGAGATCAAGATGGTAGGGAATATATAGGGAATGACAGTCTGATGTAAAGGCTCTTCAGTGTTGGAAGTTATTGAGGTTTCTGGAACAATTAGATGATTAAAGGTAGGCTTTGCGATCCTGGATAAACCAGCAAGAGGAAGCTCAATTTTGAAAGTCGACACCCGAAGAAATCCCACCTTTTCATTCTGACTTCTCTCTAAAGCCACTCCTCCAAAACGCAACACCCACTGCATTCAATAGATAACTGAAGGGTTATCTATTGGGTGCCCTTTCATCAACTCGGCCTTGTTCTGCGCTGTTCCTCTGGGAATTTTTAAAAGTAATTCAGGGAACATAGGACATTGGTCACAAACCGAATTGCAGTGCTTCCCATCATATTGTTTGTAGTACATTATTGAGAAACAAGATCACATTTTGCCAGTTGTTACTGAAGCATGATTGATGTGCTCTGCTCTGTCTGCTCAGGTGACGGTGGAATTTGCAGACGAGCCCAGTCTGTCTTTCATCTGTGCCGAGGTGGACTGTAAGGTGGTGCACGAGTTCATCGGTGGCTACATCTTCCTGTCCACGCGTGCCAAGGACCAGAACGAATCCCTAGACGAAGAGATGTTCTACAAGCTGACCAGCGGCTGGGTCTGAGCTGCTCTGGACCACCAGGCTTCAGCAACTGTTGGTCAGGGGGCCAGGGAGGGAGTGGCTGGGGCCTGGGGTGTCGAACCATATTGTATGGTTTTATTTTATTCTTCTGTTTCTCAGTTTTGTTTGAGGCCGTGCTGAAGAGTCTGAAATGGCATGGCTTTTGCCATGGTTGACACCGTTTTTATTATTATATAGTTTTTTTTTGCATTAACACGACAAAGGTCATTTTATACAACACTAATATTGTGGTGAAGTCCAGATGAACTTTAAGTCCTGCGATTGAGCAGAAACCTTACATATGCCTGAACCAGGAGGTTTCTCTGGTTTCCTGCGGTCACCTGCCTCCTATTCTCCTGGACTGATGACCATCAGCTTACATCCATGACAACTCTTTAAAATCGAACAGCAGATTCAATCCCAAAGATCCTTCTGGTTCTCTCACTGTCTTTTAGAACTGGACTAATGGCGCTGACATCAAACTGTCCTTACACTATATGGTGATATCATGTCACAGTTATCAAAATGTTTATACTAGAAGATGGATTTCATCGAAGAGCCCAATCAGAAGGCCATCCATAAACAGCAGTGGCCTGTGATCACAGCACTACATGTCCATCTTATCAACACTATGAAGGGTTTAATCTCTTTGAAGTCGCATGTAAGCACTTCGACAGTATACAGTCCTGTTTATGAATAAGCTGTTGTCCAATTTGCTTTTGATGTCTGTTGTCTTTGTTTCAGGGCTGGTGAGTCGAGTTTCTCCACTGAATTCTCATTGTATTAGGTGACAGGTGTGACAGAGCTCGGGTTTTGATTTGTATTTAATAGGTTGCTAATAGTAAGCACGTCTGGAAACACACTACAGTTAAATGCACTGAGATGAGTGTCCTGTGGGCTTCAAAAATCTGGTTTCCCCCTATGACCTACAGTAGATATCCTTGTTGCAAAAATGTGCATCTTAAAAAGTCATTGAGTCTAGTGGGGATGTTGAAACAAGGTAGATTACTAATGTCACTATAAGGCAACGTGTCTCACCCCACTGGCAGGTTTTATGGTTCATAATAAAGACGGCATGAAGCTAAGTGATTTTGCAAGGGGGGTGTGCCCATTAACTTGGAGCAGTGTGTGCCAAAGTGCATTAAACATTTTTCCATGCCTGTTTTTGGCTGCTGCTCTGACCCCACTTTCAAGTTGCGCAGTCACAGCAGCATGCTTTGAATTTGACCCAGATTGAAACCCCCTGACATCTCCTTGCTTTAGTGCATGTACACTACATAACAAGGGATCGCTGCTCACTTTTACTTTGTCGCCATTCTGTTTCTCACACCGCATAGTATTAATCTTTTTTTTTTTTTTTTTTTATCATTACACACCAGCAGTAGGTCACTAGGTTTGAAGAATGAATATGCAAATTCTTTTCTTCTGTCCTCAGTATGAAGGATCAGTAAATGAAGTATTATTTGTAACTAATGTAAAAACACAAACAAGAACTGGACTAATGGCGCTGACATCAAACTGTCCTTACACTATATGGTGATATCATGTCACAGTTATCAAAATGTTTATACTAGAAGATGGATTTCATCGAAGAGCCCAATCAGAAGGCCATCCATAAACAGCAGTGGCCTGTGATCACAGCACTACATGTCCATCTTATCAACACTATGAAGGGTTTAATCTCTTTGAAGTCGCATGTAAGCACTTCGACAGTATACAGTCCTGTTTATGAATAAGCTGTTGTCCAATTACCTGTTTTTTTTTCTGCTTTTTGGGGTTTTGGAAGCCATCTGTCAACACACAGTATGTAGTCTGCAGAACTGTGCCTGCCTGTGTTGTGGTCTTACTGAGTTTTCAGATGAAGATGTATATGAATACAACATTAGTCTCAAACTCCAGGTTTGATTAAGATGTTTGCAGAGTTCGTTTTTTTTTTTTTTAACTCAGATATCTATGCTTTTTCAGTGTGCTCTTTTCTTGCATTTCTGTTTTTAGTCATTTTTCTGCTTTCTCTTCTACCACATCTGACCCGTGATGTCCATGGTGGCCCCAAGCTGCAGTTTTTAGCTCCTGCTTTAGATTCACAGTGATAGTTGATTTGGTTTTTTTTTTTTTTTTTTAATTCTTCACTTAATTGTCTGGTTTTGTCACAACAGAACCGTGACATTTAATAATGTCTGTATGAAAGAGACCCATATAGTTCAGACCCTGGAGTTTGAGACAGATCGGGCAAAAACAAAACAGCAGTACAAAAAAACCAAGCCTAGTTTGTTTTGTTTTATTTTTTCCCTCTGATGTTGTTTTTGTTTGCCTCTAGTGTTGGGAGCAGTAGTGCATGTCCTGCTGCTCTGTTTTATGACTGTAAAAATGCATTTATTTTAAAACAATAAAGTAATTTTTATTTAAAACCACTGTCTAATTTCTTTTATTACCTAACAGTGTTTTTAAGAGCTACAGCTGGTGTGATTCTGTGTTTAAATGTCAACAAATCCCACAAATAGACCAACACAACAGCAGTGTTAGTTGTTTTGACAGCCCATTCTTGCCTACAAAGGACAGAAATGATTAAAAACTGTTTACAGATATTTCTCATTTTTAAAAGGGCTCACTAATTTGCCAGAGCAGCTGGGCACTTTGGTTTTCAGCTCATTCGACTAAATCAGAAATAAACACTGCATTTGTTATTTTCAATATACTGTACGTATGGTTGGAGTTCAAGTCTGTGTATTACTGCAGTTCCTGAGATGCTTCATCAGATCTACTGACAAAAACTCACTATACTGTTGTTTTTGCACAGATAGAGACTCTGATTATACTTTGTGTTCATCAAATAATATACCATGTGTTTCCACAGATGCAGTATGTGCAGTAGTACATGTGCACTGGCTTTTTATCTCCACTAGAGGGCAGTGTAGAACCACCTGTACTCCCTGTGTTTCCCCTGCTGTCTAGTGCTCCAAACCTCTCCAAAGGTTTCTTTGTGCAGGTCTGGCATGTTTACCTGGCTTCCAAGCAGAAAAAGTGCCAGACTGAGGAGGAGATTAGACCAAAGAACACCTGCAGACACTCTGTTTACAGGATTTTGCCCTATAGTGGATGCGTCACCTGCTGAGCAGCTGCTATGTGGAGGTGTGTGTGGCAGCTGCTCACACCACCTGATGTCCACAGTGGTACTATTGAAATGACAGCTCATGCAGCATGGGTTAAATAGGTGAGGTTTGATAAAGATGTTAAAGAGTGGACACTAGCTGGTGTGAGATTAGATGAGGTTAGATAAAAAGAGGAGGATAGGTGAAATGTTCATATCTAACATTCAGTTGCCTTTTCATTAAATGCCATTATTAGCATGGCAGTGATTCAGGTCCTTTCTTCTCTGGATGGTGAGGTTAAAGCTTTCAGTTTGACTTTGATGACACTTTTTTTGGATCATTTTCCAGCAGTGGAAACAATGATTTGAAATCTGCTAGAACATCCTGTTCTCGATGAGGATGTGTGTCAGTCCGACACTTAATTCCGCACTAACTTCCAAGAAACCATTTGACATACATAACTCGAAACGTGTTTGTAATTGGGCTCTATGTGGAAGCATACCTTTATGTAACTAATCCCTCTCCTTTCTCTGGAGCCTCTGATGCTCCCTACTCTAGTGCGATCTCGCCCATTCACTATGTGTGGGAAGTAATGACGTCTTAACCACCCCCACCTAGAGACATGGAATTCCTCAGACCCTTTGGGAGCACTGGCTGGAGGACGGCCTTGATGTGACATTGAAAGAAATTGTGGAAGGAGACTTTAGGATGACATTTGTAGACTGTGCTGCTCACAAACAATTAAAATGCAGGAAGTAAAACATTAAAGGAGTAGCACAATAAAGGAAGCACAGCAGCACCTGTTGCCATTCAACACAGCAGCTTGCTGATTGATCCAAGTGCATAGCTCAGTTTCAAAGAAGCAATGCTCTGCTTTCCTCATTCCTGGAGTTCACAGCCGGTTAAAGTCACTGTTGATGTCATAGAGCTCTCTCTCTACTGTTTCTGACATTCACCCCTTTTGGCTGCACTGAATGGAGCGCTATCAGCCGTGGCAGCAGATGTGTCGATAAGCTTGCTTCAGTTAAGCCTTGAAACTTCCTTGAAGTTCCATCCTTTCTCATCAGATCACTTTGTCCTCTTCAGATGTCTTTTGTCTTTTTTTCTAACTGCTGTCCTCAGCTGTTTAGTATACCTGCTGCCGAGATGATAGAAAGCTAGAGGATACTGCTAGCCACGCTAGCAGTGCAGCTAAAGGGATGGCAATGTTGATCTGGCAGCATATGTCAACAACTGCTCAGTGGATTAGCAACAAATCTTATACACACATTCATGGTCTCCAGATGATTTATCCTAATGACCTCTGTGAACCCCTGCCTTTTCCTCTAGTGTCACTATGACATTTTGTGTGAAATGTCTCAGCAACTATTGGATTTCCTTGATATTTGTTACAGACATTCAAGCTCCTCTCAAGATGAACTCTAATAGCTTTTGTGACTCTTTATATGGTACTTTGTTCTAGTACCATCATCAGGTCAAATTTTCAAAACAAAGCCTGCAGTTAGTTACAGGAAGTGATCTGATGTTCTGAAATAAAATAAAAGCCCAAGATTGCAACTTAAGCTCATATAAAGGTCCAGTATGCATGGTATTATTTATTTTGACAAATATTTCTATACTTTTATACATTTAAGTAATTTTATTTTCATCTTCCATAATTATGCAGCACTGCATCTCAGCCTTCAGCTGTTCCAGCACTGGATTTCAGTGTTATTGGGGCAATTCTTCAGCAATCAGCATTCACACCCATTTTCATCAGGAAATGCCTTTTCTAGCTCCCTTATGTGATTGTTGAAAGCCAAACCATTTTAGAAGCTCTTCACTGCACAGAAGCATCGTCTTTGCTCAGATTTGTGTTTTCCTTATAAAAAGTAAAAAAAAAAAAAAAAATCAGCTCAAATAATGCAGGACTCATCATGTCCCAGTCTCTGTGGCTGACCTCCCATATTCACATATTAAAGCACAAAAATTCCACTGGAAAAAAAAAAGTCACATATGTTATCCCCATTATCTTGGACAGTTCCGCCTAAATATGTTGCCATAGAAATGGCGTGAGCTAAACACTAAAGATTGCCAAGATGCTTATCTTGACGTCATCAGCTTCAGTGTGAAGCTGCTAAACAAGAAATTTAAGGCGCCAGGAAAACATATGTTTTGGTCAAAGTTCTTTCATGTTTAAAATTAATTCACATGACGTTTGTCAGACTTGTATTGCTGTAATACTGCTGTTAACAATACCTTGGTGGGGGGTGGGGATTCTGTTTTAGGTGTTTAAAGAGATGAAAGGGTCCTATTGTGAACCACAGTGTTTGCATCATCACTTTCTGAAGGGCACAACAACTGTATGCATAGGTATTACCAAATAGGCTTGTGTGTGTAAAGCATCGCAAAAGAAGCTACAGATGGTGTGTATTCCAACCCAAGTCTCATTTCAAGTTGGAGCTTCTCTCAGGCTATTTGCTGTGGGAGTCTTTTCTAAAGTAATCCACCTCTTCCTTGGGGACCTGTTGGCTTTAAGCACTGTTGCACAAAATTGGGCAATTTGCATTGCCTCGTTCAGTAAAACCTGTTGTGTTTGACTAAATCTTGTTTTTCAGCCATGTTAACACACTTTAAATAATTACTGTCATTGTTTGTTTATCTTTTTTTGTGGTAGTGGTAGAGGAAAAGAGAATCCTGGGAAACATTTAGTTAAAGTTATAACAGTGCAGGAGAAATGCTGCTTTGAAAAAAAATAAGATAATTCAAGGCACATTTTCATAAAATAAGGTTTGAAATTAATGGCTCAAATGGAACACCGGAGGCAGACATCGCCTCAGTGTAACACACTAAGATAACCAATAAGTGTTTATAGATTGGTCCCTGTGGAACAGTAACATCAAAAATGCCTCTAACACCATCACCTTTTAAAACCTTCATATTCAGTCTCATTCCTCCTTTTATTATGTGTTTACCTCAGTTTGTTCTTCAATATCAAGATACAATAAGCGATGTCTTTGTGTTAATCCCAAATTCTCAATAGCCTTCATGTCCATTGCTGTATTTCCACCTTATCTCCCCGTGGTGTTATGGCCACGACAGGGATGCCACTTGACAATAAAGACTAAATTGATCTTGCAAAATAAAATTGGATCTAGGCTTTTTGTGTTACCCAGAGGCCTCTGCTCACTGATTGGTTAAATTAGCTGCTTTTTATTGTTACATGGTGACAATAAAAAACCAGAGGGAGCAGGTTACTGGCAGGCAGGGACAGGAGACAGAGGACTGGGGGCCAGCGAGGCAAAAGGTAGAGTACTTAGGAAAAGTAATAGCACTATCTCGTGTTAACTGATGTGTATGTACTGGTGGTGTAGGATCCAACATTTGCCACACAAGGTATATAAGAGACAATAGGGGGTCGTACTGAAGGACTGGGAGATTCAGTAGAGTGTCCAGGTGCCCGAATACTTTATGACAGAGGTGATTTAGTGCAGTTACTATTTCAACTGAAAAGATACAGCACTAAGTTAAAACATGGAGACTTGACCAACCAATTCTGTTAAAGGTAAATCGATTGCAAGATTAGCAAGAACTCCCTC